TGTACTTAAGGAAACTAAAACACACAAAGTAAATGTCATAGGTAAACGTGGCTTGGATTTGGTTTTAAAAAAGTAACCATTATAAAAGATTCTTGGAAGCGGGATGCAGTGGTGCCAGGGACAGTGGCACATGCTCGTAGTCCCAACTACTCTGTGGGAGGTGGGAGAATTGCTTTATCCCAGGAGTTTGAGGCTAACATGGGCAACTTAGCGGGACAGTATCTTAACAAAAAAAAAAAAAATGCTTGGGATGCAATTGGGGAAATATGTGAACTGCATATTGTTGAATTAAATTTTATTAGATATAATAATAGTATTGTGGTTATTTTGAAGAATGCCTTTACTCTTAGGAAACAAGAGACTGAACTTTTTCTTTTTTGAGATGGGGGGTCTCATTTTGTTACTCAGGCTAAAATAAAGGAGACTGTAACTTTTTTTTTTTTGAGTTGGGGTTTCGCTCTTTCAGGCTGGAGTGCAGTGGTATGAAGCTCACTGCAACCTCCACCCCCCAGGTTCAAGCAATTCTCCTGCCTCAGCCTCCTGAGTAGCTGGGAATATAGGCGCCCACCACCACATATTTTGTAAAAATACAAAAATTGTTGTATTTTTAGTAGGGATGGGGTTTCACTATGTTGGCCAGGCTGGTCTTGAACTCCTGACCTCTAGTGGTCCACCTGCCTCCCAAAGTGCTAGGATTACTGGTGTGAGCCACTGCACCTGACCCCTATATGCTAAGATTAAGAATACTACCTATACTGGCCGGGCACGGTGGCTCATGCCTGTAATCCTAGCACTTTGGGAGGCCAAGTTGGGTGGATCACCTAAGGTCAGGAGTTCAAGAACAGCCTGGCCGTCATGGTGAAATCCCATCTTAAAAAAAAAAAAAAGAATACTGCCTATACTACCTGTGTGCCTTGAAAGGGAGACACCTATACTTTGTTAACAGTTTGTTTGTTTGTTTTGAGACAGGGTTTCACTCTTCTCATCCAGGCTGGAGTAGGCAATAGTGCAATCTTGGCTTACTGCGACCTCCTCCACCTCCCGAGTTCAAGTAATTATCCTGCCTTGGCCTCTGAAGCAGCTAGGATTGCAGGTGTGCACCACCACACCCAGCTAATTTTTGTATTTTTAGTAGACACGGTTTTGCCATGTTGGCCAGGCTGGTCTCTAACTCCTGACCTCATATGATTCACCTGCCTTGGCCTCCCAAAGTGTTGGGATTATAGGCGTGCGTAAGCCACCATGCCCAGCCACAATGAAATTTTTGAGATGAAGTGTCAAGATGTCTACAGCTTATTCTCAAATAATTCACTAGAAAAATAAGGAAGAAAATGCACCAAAATATTAACAAGTGGTATATGCTGATGAAGGGTAAATGGATATTAAGTACTATTCTTTCAACTTTTCTTTACATCTGAGTATTTTCATAAGGTCAGTCAAAAGTCCCACAGCCTTATAACTCTTGCCAAAGGCCAATTGCTCCATAAATTCTTTTCTAGTTCTACCATTAAACATAGATCTTTTAATGCAAATGGCACTTTGTAGTGGTTATTCCATCTTAGTTGTATTTCTGTGTAGTAATTATACAGTATTTACAAGTCATGATAAATTGGTCTTTTGTTCTCCCTCCTTACTCATAGGTAAGTTACTGATAGAGTCCTTTTGTGTCTTACTCATCTTTGAATCCTTTTTAAGTGTTCATCTCATAGATGATGCTCAATTAATAGCTGAACTAAGTACTACTTCAGATATGCTTAATATTCTTGCAATCATAGATTATAGAGCTGACATTAAGAGACTTTCAGGAGAGTGAAAAAGACAAGACCTCATAGTTAAGTTTTTAAAACACAAGTCTGAAAGCCATTAATCTTCACATTTCAAAGGTCAAGTGCCTTATTTCTCAAATGTTCACCACCCACTCAGTGATAAGATAAATGTGCAGAGGCACACAATTTTATGGCAGCCATTTGGTTGCCACACAGAAGGGCCACTTGGCAGTTATTTAGGCCCGCCTGGTAAAAACAGCCAGGTGCCTATAAGGGCTCCTAAGTCATTAGTGTCTAAGTACTTAGTAAAAAGCAGTTATTTGAGCCGGGCGCGGTGGCTCACGCCTGTAATCCCAGCACTTTGGGAGGCCGAGGCGGGTGGATCACGAGGTCAAGAGATCGAGACCATCCTGGTCAACATAGTGAA